AGCATGCTCTTTTTAGGTCTTTAGGGAATAGACCGAGAAGGGGAATAGCTGGGTCAAATGGTGGTTCCATTCCCTGCTTTCCAAGAAATCTCCATACTGCTTTCCAAATTGGCTGCACCAATTTGCAGTCCCACCAAATAAAAGTTTTTTGTTTTCCTTTTTGCCTTAACACTGTCCTTTACATTTTAAAATGTATATTATTTATTAGAACAGTTTTATATTTAAAAAATTGAGAAGTTTGTGTGTATAGTTTCATATACCCCATGGCTGGTTTCCTCTATTTTTAACATTTTATACTAGTGCAATACATTTTTAATAGTCAATTAATAATTACTTATATTGTTACTGAATAGTTTTTTCACATTTCTACCTTATATCCTCTTTCTCTTCCATGATCCACCCTAGGTTTTATATTACATTTAGGAGCCATGTCTCCTTAGGCTTCTCTTGGCATGGACAGTTCCCTAGACTATCTTGTTTTTGATAATCTTGATAGTTTTGAGGAGTACTGCTTAGGCATTCTTTCCTCTATTGGAATTTGTCTAATTAGACTGGGATTTTACTATTTGAAAGGAATTCCACAAAGCTAAAATGCCTTTCTTATATCAGTGGTACATGCTGTCACATGACATGTCACTGTTGGCATCAACATTGATCACCTGGTTGAGTTAGTGTTTTTCATGTTTCTATATCTGTTTCCCCTTATCCCTCCCACCCATATATACCCCTTGGAAGGAAGTCAGCCCACACAGCCCACACTCAAGCAGTAGTGATATGTCCTCTTTCTACATTAATTAACTTGGAATTTTTCTGCACAGTAGTTTTATCTCCTTTTTCCTCATTTATTATGTATTAACTCATTTATACTTATTTAGTGTTTTGTCTTGTAGTCTAATACTGCTCTATTTTATTGTTCAACATGGCTATTGAGAATTCTTTTAGTATTCCTTTGACATACTCCCATCGATGGGGTTTTTTGTTTTTTAAAAAATGTCTTCTTACTTTTTGGCACTATAAAGTGCTTCAGGTTCATCTTGCATTTCTCCTAGCTGAGTCCTAGAGTTGGCCACTTCTTCAGTGAGTCCATATTCTTTGTATTGGAGAATGGATCAAGATCAGTACACTTAGGTGTACACTGGCATGGTGTTCTTTTAGTCCCTCTGTCAGGAGGAGTAAAAAGATACATATGTGTATAAGCTACTAGATACATTTATCTATTATTGTTGCTCTTTGTAACTATATGTATGTATATCAAGCTAAACATGAATTCATATTGATATCTTCAACTCTTAATCCATTACACAGGAATTATTCTAGTTTCCTCTCTATGCTGATCTGTAAATTCTCACCCCAACAGTGAATATCCAGCTACCCATCATCCATTTACTTGATCATTCCATTCCAGTTCAATTCTATCAGAATTGCTAGGTTGTACTCCTGTGGGAAGCAACTTTTTATACTAGAGTGGAGTGGTTGTATCTAGTTCTTTAGTCTGCAGACTCCACTTATTTCTAGATTGACTTAGGTCCACACCTTTTGCTTTGTATTCTTTTCTTTGAGATTATTTTGCATATTATAAAGCAATTAGATTCTCTTGCTATAGCCTACATTCCTTACTGGAATTACTTAAATTTTCTTTTTAATCTCATATATGATGATTCATTCTTTGTGCTTTAAAATTCAATGGGTTTTAACAAATACATAATGCCACATATCCATTAATATAAAAATGATATTTTTACTGACCTGAAAATTACTGGTGCTGCACTTGTTCAGACATCCCTATTTCCCCCTGAACTCTTGACATCTAATCTTTTTGGTGTCTCTACTGCCCTTTTTAAAATGCCATATGATTTAAATCATAATTGATGTAGTCTTTTCAGACTGATTTATTTCACTTTATAATATGCATTTAAGGTGCTATCACATATTTTCATGGCTAGATAAGTATTTCTTTTTATTGCTGAACAGTTCTCCATTCTGTGCTGTACTAGTATGTTATTTCACCTATAGCATCCTATTTGCTTCCAATTTTTGGCAATTATGCATAGAGTTGTTACTAACAGTTGCATATAGGTTTTTATATATACAGAAGTCTTCAAGTCAATTGGGTAAATACTAGTTGGATTTTATGAAGCTTTCTTAAGCTTTGTAAGAAACTATATTCCAAAGTATCTACCAATTTTGCATTCCAAATAGCAGTGAACAAGAGTTTCTATTATGCCACATGTTTGCTAGCATATGGTATTGTCAGTTTTTTTGGATTTTAGTAATTCTTTTTTCTATTTTTTCCACCTTTATTGAGTTATAATTGATGTAAGTACACCACACATATTGACAGTGTACAGTTTTTTGATGTGTGTATGTACCTTTGAAACCATCACCACAATTAAAATAATGAATATAACCACAATCCACCAAAGTTTCACCAATTTTATAGTAATATTTCGTTGTTTTTATTTTGTTTTGTTTTTGTGGTACTGAGGATTGAACCCAGGGCCTCATGCATGGTAGGCAAATGCTCTACCACTGAACTACATCCCTAGCACTTTTTTAATTTTTATTTTTAGACAGGATCTTACTAATTTTCCCAGGCTGGCTTTGAATTTGTAATCCTCTGCCTGAGACTCCCAGTAGTTGGGATTATATGTGTGTACCACTGCTCAGCTTTACTGTTGTTTTATTTGCAATTTTCTGATAGCAAGAATGTGGAYCATCTTTTCATATGCTTATTTGCCATCTCTATATCTTCTTTGGGCAGGTGACTGTTAAAAGTTTTGCCTTTTTTTTTTTTTTCTCCCTTTGAGATAGAGTCTCAYTAAGTTGCCGAGGCTGACTTTGATCTCCTGGGTTCAAGTTGTGTTTCTGCCTCACCCTCTTCAGTAACTGGGACTATAGGCATGTGTCACTGTGCCTGGCAGCTTTGCCCATTTTTAATTGTTTTCTTGTTGAACTTTAAAGAGACCTTTTTGGTGGTGGTGGTGGTGGTGGTTGTTTTGTGTGTTTTTGTTTCACATATTTTGGACCCAAGTCATTTATAAGATATCTRTTTTGCAAGTATTTTCTCTCACTCAGTGACTTGTGTTTTCATTGTTTTAAACATTGTTTTGCAGAGCAGAAGTATTTAATAGAGTTCAAGTTACCAGTTTTTTCTTTAATGGATTATGCTTTTGGTGTTATATCTACAAACTGATCAAACTCAAGGCTACCTAGAGTTTCTCCTATAATTCTAGAAGTTTTGTGGGTTTTGCATTTTGTGAAAGGTATAAGATCTGGCTGGAGGTTCATTTTTTCTTTTCATTTGCCTATCCATTTGTTCTAGTACCAATTGTTGAAAAAGAGTTCTTTTTGCATTGACTGTTCTGTGCTTCTTTGCCAAAGGTCAGTTCTCTATCTGTTTGGGTCTATTTTGGTGCTCTTTTATTTTATATTGATCTGTTTACCCATTCTTTCACCAATACCACATTGTTATGTCATTACTGTAGCTTTATATTAAGTCTTGGAATTAGGTAGTTGGAGTTCCCCAACTTTGTTCTTTAATATTGTTTTGACTTGTCTGGGCCTTTTGCATTTCCATATCAAAATTTAGAACTTTTTTTTAATATCTGCAAAAAACTTTTTGGGATTTTGATTGAAATTACATTGAATCTATAGATCAATTGGGAAAGAATTGATAATAATATTGCATCTTCTAATCCATGAACATAATGTTGTTGCATTTATTTAGATCTTTTGTTCTTTCTTTTGTCAGAATTTCAGTTTTCTCCCCTAGGTCTTATACATATTTTGTTAGATTTATACCTAAGTATTACATTTTGGGGGTGCTATTATAAATGTTATTGTATTTTCAGTTTCAAATTTCCTATGTGTGTTACATCGGAAAGCAATTGACTTTAGCATATTAATCTCATACCCTGTGATTTTACTATTATCACTCAGTAGTTCTAGAAATTCTTTTGATTTTTTGTGATTTCCTACATAAAACTATCATGTCATATGTGAATTTTGTACTTTTTGTGATATGGTTTTTAGTATTTTCAACAAACTATGGGATTTTTTTTTCCTGTAAAGAGTCAAATAAATATTATATTACTAAGTAATATTTGTGCTTATTCTTTAATACTCTTCCATGATCCCACTCACCTACTTTTATTTTGAGTTAGAAAAAGAAACAAAACTTTAACAATTCATTTAACCATCAAACATGTTTATTGAGCATGTATTATATGTTAGGCCCTTGGTTAGGTCCTAGATATGTAAAGATGACTAAATTCCCTCTAGTCGCTATAGTTTTATGGGGGAGCAGATATCACATAAGCAGATCAGTTTTAATGCATGTGTACAGGAGTGTTATGGGAATAAAAATGAATATTTAAGTCACTGTAGAGTATCAAGAAAGGCTTCCTGGAAGATACAGTTCTTGTGATAGTTTGATGGTAGAATAGGAGACAGGAKAGCATGAGCAAAGTCTCTAAAATCTAACAAAAAATAAGAGAAAATAAGATCAAGCCCTTTTGCAGAATATTATTTATGCTTCTCATGAAACCTTTTGTTTACTGTATCATACTAATTGACTTTTTGTATATGTACTAATTGACCTTTTTTTAGAAAAGACAATTKGTATATAATGGAAAATTGCACCAGATATTAGGTGATTCACGTCTGTAAATAAATAGCTTAACCAGAGCAACAAAGTCATCCTAAGGTAATTTCCTTTCTCTCTTAGCTGGGTTAATTATGTTTTCTCAGCTAATGAGAGAAGGAAAGGCTGATTAACAGGCATCATACTTATACTATTCTACCTGGTCATGCCATGTATCTTATATTCTTTCAAAGATTGTGTTGTTTCAAGGGCTTTGAAATTATATAGCTCCCTTAAATCAAGGATAAAGTCATTCATTCTTGCCCTGTCTTGGGGAATCTTAGTTATTGTGTGATGTGTAGCAATGAAAACTGAAATTTGTATTCTAAATATCCAGTTTATTAAATGCCGTTTTCACCAGGTGAAGTGTTGTACGTCTGTAATTCTAGCTACTCAGGAGATTAAGGCAGGAGGATCACACATTTGAGGCCAGCCTGGGAAACTCAGTGAAATTATGTGAAAATAAAATAATAAAAAGAGCTGGAGGGTATAGTTCAGTTTTAAGTTTAAAAATCTTAAATTTTTTTAAAAAATCTTTTAAAATATTAAAATAAATATGTCTTGTAAACAAGTATACTTTGTATAAATATTCATTTTCCCTACCAGGGGGCTCATCTATAACAACTAAGAATAAATAACAATATTTCACTTTTGGAATTTCCCTCCACAGGTTTATTTATGTTTACCCAACTTCCAGTCTCTTACTGAGGGTCACTGCTTGATAGTCCCTTTGCAGCATCATCGAGCAGCTACCTTATTGGATGAGGATATCTGGGAAGAAATTCAGGTCAGCATGATAATGCTCATTAGTCATCATATAGCTCATGAGCAGATTTTTGCAAACTTTCATGATAAGTTCTAACAGGTTTTATACCTTTGCTCAATGATTTAGTTTCTTAATTTTCAAACTTGTATTTTCATTGTTGTATATATCTGTGGTTATAGTGTTCCCAGTGTACCCTACCTTTTAATATTGCTTCCTATGTACTCAGTGTTTTGAAAACTTATTTATGTGACAAAGTAACAATTATCTTTAACTAAATCAATCTTAAATTTCAAATAAGTACTTGGAGTAGCATGAGATAATCATTCTTACCATAGTAAGCTAGTAAATTTCAGCCAAAAGGAAAGAAATTTTCAGATAACATAAAGAAATTTGGGAGTCAGTCGCAGTTGCTATATTTTCCTATAATGAATSCATTTTCTTGCTGTGGTGATTTTGTTACTAGCTTTATTTTTTGTCCCTTTCCTTTCATAACATGGCCCAGCTTTTGGATTCAGGGATCTGTTTTAGTGACTGATTTTTCAAGAGATTGAAAGGCCCAAGATGGGTAAAATTGTTGCTAATTATTTCAAGACTTCATAATGATGGGATACAGGTGTGGGTGGGGTGGGGGGAGAACATGCATATTTTTTTAAATGCCTGACAACTAAATAGAGATTACAGCAAGAACTAGTTAGAAATGCTAGTTGGAAGGGACTATTGTACAACTAGATTTTTTCAGAATGCTGTTAAAGATGCCAAATGAGATATTTTGGCTGTATTTTATGAAATTTAGCCTCTTACTGCCTGTGCTTTTTAAATTGATACTGTGAAAGTGAAAAAAGGGGAAGTTGTTTTGTTGCATAGAAGGCCAAGTAAGAATAAGAATGTGGACAAGATTTTTGGTGTGGAAAGTTTTTGTTTTCATCCCTAGTGCTGGGTGCCTGTAACAGTAGGGAATTTAAGGGAAAACAACAACAAAAACAATGAGAACTTGGTTTTTAATTATTGTAGGACTTTTCTGGAGTGTATTTTAAAATTGATTTGACTCAGAATGAAATACAGTGCCAAAAATATTTAAGTAGTTATGAAAATCTAGTGTGTATGCCTTATATTTTTGTAAGAAATTAAACTATTTGATGAAAAACATTGAGGTGAATATAGAAGAAATTTATTTAGTTCAACAAATATCAGATATTGTGTACATGAACATGGTATTTTAGTTACTATGAGAAATACAGATGTAAAATCATTCATTATTTCTGCACAAAGGTATAATATATTCTGGTACAGGTTACAGTATAGTTTAGCAGAGTTTTGTAAGCTGGGTGTATTATGGAAAATTGAGTGAGGGAGTAAAAGACAAATTGTTTTATGCAAATAATGGTATTAAAGCTCTTTCTGTGTAGTAAAGGAAAAAAATTACTAGCAGTTCAATTATTGAAGGATAGTGAAATAATGAAATATGTGAATCTTCGCATATTTGAAGAAGTGCAGTTTGCTTGGTTTTTGTTTTCACTTTCATATAGGCACAATTCAAACTATTAGAATATATTTCTTATAATTATTCCTCTTYCGTTGAATGCATTTTAAAAAGTGACTTGACTTAGCACAAAATATTGTTTGCAAAGCAGGAGCTATTTAAATGTAACTTTCATATTTAGAAGAACATTCAAAGGTAAGTTTTAGCAAGAGCATACTTTAATAATCACAAATTTCAAATAAGTAAGATTGACATTGTTAGTTTAAATACATAGTGGTACTTCATTCCATTTAAGTTTATTCTTCTCACTTTGTCAAGTATGCTTGAACATGTGCTATAGTCAGACTCTATGGGCCATTTGTTAAATATCTCAAATTGGTGATATGAGAAAGGAGAGTAGTTCATGGTGGCCCTCACTGAGTGATGTGGTGGGGCCATTTCACTTGGAAACTGCCAGTGTTGGCCTTTTGTTCTTTCTTTTGGGCTATTCAGATCCTCCAGAAAAGACTTTGAATCTCCAGCCTGTACTGTCTAAGCTTGCTTACCAGTATTATGGGAGATGAGTGTGTTAGAAAGCAGAGGATGACAAAATGTTGAGTATTTAAGAACATTCAGTAACTTTTCCTGTTTTCAGATTGTATGCTCTGAATTGTGTCTGCTTTTCCCAGATCGGCTATCTTGAGTTACTTTTTCCAGAGAATAATCTAGTATTCTGCTGGTAGAGAGAGGATCTGGCATGCAAATTGCTTTTTAAAAAACTTTTCATCTAAGTCATCTGTTTTTAGACACACCTTGACCTCTGCATCCCTGAGGCTTTTGGGGGTTCTGTAGGGGATCCTGGGTATCTTCCCTGCCATCCCTGCAGTTTCCTCTTCTCCCCTGAAAGGTATGAACCAGCTTTCTAGCATTTAAGTCAGATATCATGGGATGATTTGATTTTCATTTCATCTTCTCTCATTCTTTTTGTTCAAGTAGATTTATGCCTTTTAAAAATTTCTTTTAATGCCATTTTCAAAGGGTTACTCCATGGAGAGAGTAGAGATGAATGTGTGTCTTCTGTTCTCTCTTATAACATTGTTTTTGGATAACTAAAGATACAGTGTATTTTAAAAACCTGAAAATATTACAGCATTAATGCTACATAATTAACTTCATGTGGCTCGAGTATTTTTAAGAAAAGTACTTTAAACTTCAAAATTATTTAGTTATATTTAATTGATTTTATAATGTGATAATATAAATTATGACTGCAACAACCTGCAGTATAATTTATTTAAATAGATTATAAGAAATTTCAATACAGGTGTATTGATTAAATAAGAATGGGAAATTACATGAATAATAATAGTTTTAAATGTGGAAAATAAGGAGGACTTCCTGTTTTCCCAGTATATTCTACAAGGAATGTAGGAATTTCACATCGTCCCCATATTTTGGAATCTCTATATTTTTCTGAAGTATAAAATAGTTTTGGTTATAATGTGTCAAAATACACTCTACTATCATGTATTTCTAAAAAGAATAAATAACATAGTTTTGATATATCTTATAATAACAATGTTGTTATATAACTAAAAATGATTATTATTGAACTACATATAGTATATTTTTATGTTGAACTTGGAGAACATCTTGCTTTTAATGGAATTGATCACCTCAAATTATTTCATTAAACACACAGTTTTAATTTAAGTTTTTACCATATGTAGGTGAGAAGAAATACTTAAATATACATGTGTCTTTGTTTTCTTCCTTCCTTTAGATGTTTAGGAAATCGTTGGTAAAGATGTTTGAATGTAAAGAATTGGACTGCATTTTTTTAGAAACAAATATGAGCATGAAGAAACAGTATCACATGGTTTATGAATGTATTCCTCTCCCCAAGGAAGTGGGTGATATGGCTCCCATTTATTTTAAGGTATTTGTTGGCAATTTTTGCTTACATACCCATTTTTGCTACAGTACTGCCTTATGGATATAGTTGTCTTTAGTCATTTTTTTCTCATACATGTCTATAAATTATGACTCAACAACCTGCAGTGTAGTTTATTTAAATAGATTATAAGAAATTTCAATCCAGGTGTATTTATTAAATAAGAATGGGAAATTACATGAGTAATAACAGTTTAAAATGTGGGAAATAAGGAGGACTTGCTGTTTTCCCAGTAAAATGAAGTATATTCTACAAGGAATGTAGGAATTTCACATAGAATAAGCCAGATAATCCTATAGACCCATGCTTGTTCTGTTAATTTAGTTGAGAAAGAGATTATTTTACTTCCAGTATAATATGTGTATCAGATTTTGTATAGTATTAGCTTTTCATTGTGACAAATACTGAGAAAATAACTTATTGGAGAAAAGRTTTATTTTGGCTCATGGTTTCAGAGGTTTCATTTTATGGTTACTCCATTGCTGAGGTCTGAGATGAGGCAGAACATCATGAGCAGGGCAAAGCTGCTCAGCTCATGATAGCTAGAAAGGAGARAGAGAGAGAGATAGACAGACACAGAGAAAGAGAGAGAGGGAGACAGAAGAAGGGGCCAGGAATAAGATATACCCTTTCAGGACATGCCCACAGTGACCCACTTCCTCCATCTGGTTTCTACTCCCTCCCAATAATGCCATCAGATTATGAATTCATCAATGGATTTATTATTTATGAGGCCAGAGACCTCATGATTTAGTCACCTTTGCAAAGGCCCTACCTCTAAACACTACTGCACTTGGGACAAGGCCTTCTACACATGAACTTTTGGGAGAGACATTTCAGACCCAAACCATAACATCTAACATATAAAGAGGCCAAGCGTAAAATATTCTGCTGAACAAATTTCTATTGAAAGAAATTTGGACTTTTTTTCTTTTTCAAAGAATGTTTGCCTAGAACTATGAAGATGCTGCTATCCAATAGTAATTCATAATTTCTATTTTTGTTTCTCATTTCTCTAGTGAAATCCATGTTTTTACTAAGAAGCATTTTAAGTCAAAATTTGTAGTCATAACTCTAAAAACTTACCATTGAATAATGAAACAGATAACATACAAATAGTACAAATTACAATTGCTGAGACAAGTTATTGATGTAAATATTAGTATTTAATGTCTCATGCTACTTATAAAAGAAATTCTCATCTTTAATGTCACTGCAGCATTCATGCAACTTTTACTAAATGGTATGTTTGATGCTGACCTGATATGTTTTTAGACTAATGGAGATGCATAAATGGCAAACCATATGTGAAATATTAACATGTGCAAAGAAAAAGGAGGGTAATGGCCTGTGCATTAGAGTAATGTGATTGCACCTGAAATGAAGTAAAATTTATTAATATGAGCTGTAAATTACAATTTAAAAGATTATGAGATCTTTTAGTGAGCTGGTAAAATTGATTTTCTTTTCAGAAATCTTTAAAAACACTTGSATCATTTGATTTAAAGACTTAGGTTATTAAAGTATAGAATAAGCCAGATAATCCTATAGACCCATGCTTGTTCTGTTAATTTAGTTGAGAAAGAGATTATTTTACTTCCAGTATAATATTAAACTTCCAGTTTTAAATTATTCTAATTAAAGACTTAACACATTTGGAAAAATGTCCTATCATATATACTATACTCTGTAATTAAGTCACCATATTGTTTTATTTCAAATGATCTCTTTGCTTTTGCTATTGTATTGTTCATTTAACAACTAGCTGTTTCTTAGAAAGCCATAATGGAATCTGATGAAGAGTGGTCCATGAACAAGAAGTTGATTGATCTGTCTTTAAAAGATATCAGAAAGTCTGTAAGTATTATTTTTTTTTCTAATACAAAAAATTAGTTTTTAGGAACTTCATTTATTTCCACATCTTATTTGATGAATAGACCATTTGGCTGAGTGATAAAGGTAGAATAACCAGTTCCACAGTTTATTTGTGACATTATTTACATCCTACCTGGCCTATAAAATGTTTATTTGTTTATGGAGAGGTTATTTGTTCAAATGAATGTTTCTTCCTGACCATTAGCCCCCTGTTGTTGTATTCCCCATAATTGGTTAATGGAACTGATCAGAATCTGCCATGAGGCCATCAGCCCTGTGGGATTGAAGTGAGAAGGACATTATTGTTATTGAAATTATTATTATTATTTTTAAATCTATTTTGCTTTTATTAACAATCATTGAAGTAATACTTTCCAAAGTAATACATTTTTTCCCAAGTATTTTATCTAATAATTTCTAAAGTATTTCCTAATTAGATGCCATAATATGCCCACAAACCTGGAACTACATTTTTATGAACTTGCTTAAAATTTTATATGAAATAATAGTCATTGTATTTTTATAGTAAAAACATTTTTTAAAAAAGCAACTGTCAACAAGATTCACTGGCTCAGTTATATCCACTAACTGAAAGAAAAAAAAATCTTCAAATATATCACCAATCAGAATCTGTTACTGTACAGATTTTAAGAGGTTTTGAGTCAGTTCCAGTGCAGAAATAAGGCCAAAACGTTTCTTTAAAATCATCATCAAAAGTATAGAGAAGAGCTCCATCATCCATATTATAAAAGGAAACCTCACCCATTTGGGAGTCTTAAAAAAAAACACCAATCTTACTAGGTATTACTTTTGGGAGAATACTAATTTTCTTAGAATCCAATGCAACATAATTAGTCTAACTACATTGCCCAATTCCCCATAATCCATTCTGTACTACAATTGTTTGACTTTGAGTCTTCCTTCTTCTAGAAGAGTTAAATAGTCCTAACAGAGACATTATGATCCACAAAACCTAAAATAATTTATTATGTGGCCCTTAAAAAAAAAGAAGAATGTGTGGAACTGCTGGTCTAGTCGATGTGACTGGAATATCTCCCCCCCATTTTTTCTTTTGAAAATCAGACTCTTGAAACATAGGAGTCTGATAGGATTTCTTATTATACTTATTATATCCTGGTCAAAAGCTTCAAATTTCATTGCAATATTAAAGATACTTAGTTTTAACTCAGAGGTAAAATATTTCTACAGTATTTTTCTCTTCCATTGTTGTTGAATTGAGCCAGATAATATATTTAAGAAACAAAACAAAACACAAACCAAAATAAATCTAAGTATTCTATATACTTTTATCCCTTATTAGTCTATATAAAAAAGTGTAATGTGTATATATTTTTGTACTATTTTCATTTCTTAAATCATAATTACCCATACCATTAAATATGCTTTTAGAAAACTATTTTAATGGGAACTGAAAATATTTTAAAGCAGAATTTTTTCATAGTTCTTTTGATTATTTTTATTGGTGCATTATAATTATACATAGCAGGGGGATTCATTATGCCACATTTGTCCATGCATGTAGTATCATTTGATCAATCTCATTCCCTAGGGCCTGCCTTCCCTATCCTCCTCCCTTTATCCACTTACTCTATTCTGCAAATCTCCATTCTGATGCTATTATTATTATCATTATTTTAATTAATACATTATAAATGTGTATATATGTACAGGATACATTATGACATACAGGGACATAGCATAATTTGGTAGATTTTATTCCCCAGTACATCTTGATGCTCTCTCTCCTCCCTCCCTCTCAACCCCCTTCTATACYCTGTTGGTCTCATTTCTGTTTTTATGAGAGCCCCCTTTTACCCCTCTCTCCCCCGCAGCTTTTGCATGTGAGAGAAAACATTCAGTACCTGACTTTCTGAGTCTGGATTATTTCATTTAGAATGATTTTTCTCCAGTTCTATCCATTTACCAGCAAATGACATAATTTCATTCTTCTTTATGGCTGAGTAGAACTCAATTGTGTATATATACCACATTTCTTTATCCATTCATCAGTTCATAGGCAACTCAGGGGGTTCCATAAGTTGGCTGTTGTGAATTGCACTGCTATAAACATTGGTATGCACATATCACCACAGTATATTGATTTTTGTTTTTTTGGATGAATACCAAGATGTAGATTAGCTGGGTCATATGGTGACCCATTGTAGTCTTTTGAGGTATCTCCGTACTTCAAAGCAGAAATTTTAAAAGAAATGTATTGTTCCCCACTTGATACACTATATATACAGTTCTGTTACTGGTAAACCATCTAGTATTTATTGTTTATTTTTTTAAAGCAAAGATAAATACCAGAATCAAGTAGCCAAGAGGTCTCATTAATTTAACCAATATAGAAAATAAGAAACAGACACAGATCCTTGTAAGAATGGGAGTTGAGCCTGGTGTAGTGGGTCACAGCTATAATCCCTGCTACTTGGGAGCTAAGGCAGGACAGTCGTAAGTTTGAGGCCAGCCTAAACAACTTCTTGTTTCAAAATAAGACACCAAAAGGGCTAGAGAGGTAGCTCGGTGGTAAAATATCCCTGGACTTGGAGAAAACAGCCCTAAGTGAAATAACCCCTGGGTTCATTCCTCAGTGATACAAAGAAAAGAAACATCATTAAAGCATTTCAAAGATRGTAACCATTGCTTTTACTAAGGAATCACATAGTTCTATATGAGACTCTTAGGGAGTAGTAGGTAGGCAAGGAGCCAGATGACCTTGTGAGGTACTTCTTAGCTATAGGTATCTATGGTTATTAGATGAAATTGTGAAGAGAACTTTATGTAAGAATAATTCCAAAGGAGGTCACATTTTTTAGGTTAACAGGCTTTCCAGTATCTTTTAAAATAGTGTTTCTGAACATGAAGTGAAAAATCTTGAGTTATTTTAACATTTTTTTTTTTTGCAACTGAAAAAGCTTCGTTATTCTTCTTTTAAAAGCTTTATGTCCTTAGTAATTTTGTAGTTTTTTGATTACTTCATTGGAGGTAGAGTGATTTTTTTTTTTCACTCAGTAAACTTTTGTTGTATAATAGATACTGGCATGTTTCTAATTCTGAGTTTTGTTTGAATGTTATGTTTTTCTTTGCTATGTGAATATATGATTTCCATTTTCTGCCAATTTTGTTTACTTTCTCTGGGTCTTTGATTTCTTGTAGTATAGTGTGAATCCTGTGGCATGTGGCAGGTGATGGAAATAGATCTGAATGTTGAATGCAGAGGAGTTACATGATAATGAATAAATTGTTGAAAAATGGTCATTTTTCATGGCTATTGAGATTTCATGAGAAAGTGTTTTAAGGTTAATTTTGTGGAAACTATAGCAATTTAAAAAATCTAACATTTAATGACCCAGTTTTTAAATTAAGGAATATACTTCTCAAGGAACATTTGGGTTTACCAGAGACCTTATAACTCAAACAAAGAGTCAGAAATTAGAGCTAGAGGAAAGGGGAGAAATTCATATACTACTGTTTTTTTCTACCACAAATAAAATTTTGGCCTATAATTCTGACTGTACCTTTAAAGAGTAGTACCAGAGTTCTAAAACACTCTTTTTTCTGGTGTCCAAGGCAATAAAAAGTGCTAGAATATGCACAAATTTTTGATATTAGAGATATTGTGTGTGCTGATTAACAACCCTGCTAGCAAGACTACAGACTCTACTGTTTGTAGCCTGGGAGAAATAATAAAAAAATAAAATATGCTTGTGACATAACTGTCTTTAGTACAAAAGTAGTTGCATATTCATTGTGTCATCTTAGCAAATATGGCATAGGTTGTTGAGCCATACACACAGACACACACAGACACACACACACACACACACACACACGCGGGCGCGCGCACGTTTCCTACTGCTGCTAGAACTAACTACCATAAATCTAGTGGCTTCAAATACATTTATTATCTTATATTTCTGGAGATCACAATTATGAAATAGGTTTCACTGGGCCAAAATCAAGGTGTCAGCATGCCTGCATTTGTTCTGGAGGCTCCAGGAAGGATTCCACCTCACCTTCTCCATGTGCTAGAAGCTGTCTACATTCCACACCTTGTGACTCCTTCCTTCATCTTCAAAGTGAAGAGTGTAGTGTTATCCAGTCTTTCTCTGATTCTGGTCCTCCTGCTGGGCACAGTGACTCATGCCTGTAATCTTAGCTGCTTGGGAGTCCACTGCAGGAGGATCATAGGTTCGAGGCCAGCCTGGGCAATTTAGCAAAACACTTGTCTCAAAATAAAAATAAAAAGGGCTGAGGCTGAAGCTCAATGGAAGAATACCCCTGGGTTCCATCCTCAGTATACTCAAAAGAAAAAAAAAATCTGTGTTATTATATTGACACCCCACCCACTACCCCGTCAATCTGGATAACCCAGGATAATTTCTTATTTCAAGATCATTAGCTTATTCATGTATATACAATCTGGATAACCCAGGATAATTTCTTATTTCAAAATCATTAGCTTATTCATGTATATAAAGTCCCTTTTGACATTTAAGGTAACATATTCATGGCAAATAGAAGACTAGGAAGTTGACATATTTTGGCAGGGCATTATTCTGCCTACAACAGTATGATACAAATAAAAGGAAAAAAGGTACTATCATCACAGGTAACTTCCTGAAGTTATTTCTCACTGTCAAAGTATTGTCCTTTAGTCAACATAGTTCCATAACCTCTTTTTATCTATTTGAATTCATTTTTCATACCTGGTGATCTACTTTAGATGGCACAAATGTTCTAATGGAATATTCTAATGATGCTTTCTATCCTTTTTTCATTGACAAGTTTGCACAGAGCAGCCTTGTATGGGAGATAGCAATGAAAGTAATAATCTTCTTCGTGCTAAGAATTGGGATAGCACTTTACATAATTGTCCTATTTGGTCTTCATAGAAAACCTCTGAACTTTTCGTATTTCTCATGAGACTCAGAAATATTAAATAACTTGCCTGAAGTCACACACTTTTAAGAAGCAGAGATGTACTTAGAGCCTTCTTTTTCTCTCTTTATTAGCTTTATTTTTTCTAATTATCAAGGTCTCACATTATTATTATATTAAAAATGTGGAAATTTGAAAAATATAAAGCCACAAAGTGGTAACCAGTTGTTCTTCATTTTGTTTTATACTATTTTGTAAACTGATTTTTTGTTCATGTAACAGGAACATCCCTTTCTTTACCCTTAATTTTTTTGCTTTATAATATTTTAAGGTTGCTCCTTTTTCCACCATACCAAATTGTGCCCTTCCAAATTGCATCTTCCTGAGGAGAGACTCCAAAATTCATTTTTTTTAAGAGAGAGAGAATTTTTTAATATTTATTTTTTTTGTTTTCAGTGGACACAACATCTTTATTTTATTTTTATTTGGTGCTGAGGATCCAACCCAGCGCCCCACACACACCAAGTGAGYGCACTACCGCTTGAGCCACATCCCCAGCCCTCCAAAGTTCATATAGTCAAGTAGGAATATGTGATTAAGTACCCAAATGAGTGAATGCTGATTATGTCAAAGAATTGGAAGGGGAGAATATTACTATAAATTGACCCACTTGAGGATAATTTCTAGTGAAAATGTTAGGGTTTAGAAGGAAAACAGATGTACTTAACTGATAGAGAAAGCAAAAATTAATGTTTTTTCCCGTTCAGGATATAGCTTAAAATACTGTGTGTGTGTGTGTGTGTGTGTGTGTGTGTGTGTGTGTATGTGTGTTGGGGGGAGAAGAGAGGGAGGGAGATATGGATAGATAGATAGAAGAAAGGGGGGGAAAGAAGGCTAACAATTAATCCTGTAGATTTTTCAAAAATTAGGTTGATAAATTAAGCATTGTTATACTTATCTCATCAGTTCATTAAAAAAACTGTGATTGTTCTTGTTTATCATGGTCAAGATTTCAACGACATTGTAAACAAAGTTCAAGTATACAGCCAGGCCCCTCTTCCAATTCTGCAGTGTTAAGTAAAATATGAGAAAATATATGCTTATTTTTCATTGTGCAGTCTTAGGAATAACTATTCTCTGATTATAAAAATATTTTAAATACCTTATTTTTTCCTCAAGAACAGGAAAATAATTGACTTTGATTATAATTGCAAGGTATGATGGAGCAATCTGGCTGAAAGGCTACCAAAATGCAGTCTTTTACTTTGAAAGTTAATTCATTATTCAGTGTCTATAGAATTGGAAATTTATTGTGTACATTTGTCTTGAAGGATGTTTAATTACTCTCATGTTAAAGAGCAAGAAAAATAACTGAGGGTAACTTTCTGGTTTTGTATTATATTTCATGTGTGATTTGTCTGCTTATTTAGGTACCCAGAGGCTTACCTTACTTCTCTGTGGACTTTGGCCTCCAAGGAGGGTTTGCCCATGTCATTGAAGATCAACACAAATTCCCTCATTACTTTGGAAAGGTATACTAACAAATATGATTTATTCCAGAGGTTAGCAGTTTGGTTAACATGTCTCTTTGAAGGGAGATCAAAACTTTGGGTACAATATACAATAAATTGATGAGTACTGCTCCACTCACGTTTTAGAGAGAGCCCAGAAATTATTAATAAAAATATCCCAGAATATTTAAAACAGAGGCAGGAATGCCACTTTGGAACCAATGCCTCTTAGAGTTCAACGGTGATTGTAATATTTTCCTCTGGAATCAGCCAGTCTTGTACTGAGAATGRTGATAATTGCTAACAATTGTTAAAGGCTTACAGTGTGCCAGCTACTATTGTAAGCACTCATTTAATGCTCACAATGACTTTGTGAATGCTGTTATAACTCTCATCTTATAGATGAAGAAACTGAGCTACAGAGAGATTGTGTAACTTGCCCAGGGTTATACACTGATAAGTGACAGAACCAAGGTTACATATGTTCATGGTTGAACCAGAGAACAAATCATCTCACCTCTTCATTGATAGTTACGCAAGGTACAGTCCTAGAAGAACATATAGCTCATTTCACAGATARTTTCTGGGAGGATATTCGGAGGATATTTGGTTGCCAATACTTTCTTTGAGAAAAAGATTACCTTCTGGGTATATATTCCTCAAATYAAAGGTCTTCCGAGTCTCTAGGAAATATATAAGTTAGTGTGAGGAACTAGAATAAAATTAATTCCACAATTGAAACTGAAAAGTCTGAGTAATAACTCAGACACCAACAATTCTAGAAGTGACCTTTTAATCTAGTGTAGTAAAGGCCTTTCTGCTTATATCATTTTTATSTACCAGTGCCTCCAAAATTAGAAGGGCCTTGATGAACTCTCAAGGTTCTCTCTTCCTCCTTTTCCCTCACTTTCATCTCCTGCTTAAGACCATCTTCTACAATTGATAAGGATGTGTCAAGAGTCTGAACTACAGAAGTTTGGATTCAGAACTTACTCTTGTCCTTAATGGGTTAACCAGAGGCCAAAAATCTCATGTATCTTTGAACTGTTGCAACATATTACAGAAACTTGTTTGAGAAATTTTAAGATTTTTTTTTCAATTAGCTAAAAAGAAATTGTATTCACTTCTCTGAACAATTCTTTTGTTATTATTATTCTATAGTATTTTATAACTAAAGGTTCCTGAAGTCTGGGTTTTTCTATTAAACTTGATTCTGGTTGAAAGGAAGTAGATTTTTCATTTTCTGCTCATTTAAATTTATTTTGGAGATTACTACCTCACTTCAGATTTTTAAACTTCAGATGTATTATGGTTGATAAGAACTGTTTTACAATTAAAAGGAAAGCTTCCCAGTTGAATTGTATCACTGAGCAGCTTTCCTCCAAATTATTTTTTCAAGAAATAGCCTGTGGGCCCAAGAACTTCCTTCAGTTTTCTACTCAAGCAGTTGTTCAGAGATTATTGGGATGGCCTCTCTCCATTAACATCTGCATCAGTAATAGAAGAAGAGTCCATCCTGATGTACACATAAGATAAGCTTGATGTTTTATATAAAGACTATTTCAGATAAACCCATAAGCTAGGCTTTCTTAAACTATGTTGCTAAGTTGAACTGAGGCCAGGAAACTCTTGGACTAATTCCAAATTTGCCTCATTTCCCTTGATGTCTTATATAAACCACTATCTCTTTTAGACCTTTGATTTCCCATTTCTAATGATTAGAGTTTCTCTTTTCCTTSAAGCTTTTCCTGATTTATCCAACAAAAAAAATTTTTTCTTCCTGTTGAGTCTCCAAATAGTCTGCTTTGCCATTACCTTGTTCTGCTTTATAAGTCAGTCCTGTGTGTATAGTTCAGTAACTTCTCATTCTGGATCCCACCACAGCTCCATACTTTTATAAGCCCTTTGAAGACAGCTGTTATCTTTAAAGTTATCTTTATATCCCCTGTAACATATGGTATTTGCATGGGCTTAGTAAGTCCTCATAGTATACTAAGGTGAAGAACCTATGACTTAGATCATGCTATTTGTCTAATATGTCACTGCACAGCCCGGCAGAGCTAGAATGAATATGCAAAATTTGACCCTTAGTCCCATGTTTCATACCTTAATTAACCATTTACCATGCTGCCTGCCTTCTTAAGCATTGTAAATCTCCCCCTTATCTTTCTGTACCTAAATAGTTAGATACATAAATTTGATTAATTTCTGTAGCATAGGAGGAGGATCATGAAGATGATACTCTAGAATAATAAGCACAGAATCAAAAAGCTATTTCCTTTTAGAGTGTGAGAAAGTAACATTAAAAGAAAGTGATTAATAATTTTTAATTCTATGTTTATTTAAATTAGTATTAAAATACTAATTTTCCTGGAGAAAAATATCTAGCTAATAGTAGGAGAAACTGGTTCATAAATATGGGTAACAAAAAGAACATTAACCTATGATTCAACTGCAATTGAGCAACAAAGTTAATTGATGCAAGGTGATTTAACTTTTCTCTACACTGTTTATCAGAGCAACTAATATTGACAAAAAATARTTAAATTTCACTTTCTCTCCCTCCCTTTTACTACTATCTTGAAGATGTACTAATAAGCAACAAAATGGATAAATTACTTGATAGGCAACATAGCTAGAACTCTGAGAATCACAGAATTCGCATAATTAGAATTAATTGACAATAAAGTTTTTTGCTCAGAATAATATTTATGCAATATTTAAACATTGTCATGGGGAACTACTTAATGTTATATTTAATAACAGACCAAACAAATGGTTTCATTCCTGATTTCAAGTGTTTATATTTTTCTCATTCTTTAAAAGGAAATCATTGGTGGGATGCTGGATCTAGATCCAAGACTTTGGAGGAAAGGGATCCGAGAAAGCTTTGAAGACCAGAGGAAGAAAGCATTGCAGTTTGCTCAGTGGTGGAAACCATATGACTTCACCAAAAGTAAAACATGCTGAAGTGTACCTCTCTTTTTTAATTTCCTCTTCAGAATCCATTTAATTTCTATTTCCATTGCGTCTAACTGACAACGGAGCCTCAGGTCATAAGGAAAAAGCAGAAGGAGCAGACTGCTCTGGGTCTGTGACAACTGTGCACTGTTGGATTGTGTTGTTTTCTCCCATATTTGCTTCTGGGGAATTCATTGTCATGACTGTGGATTAAGAACTGATGTATTGGATCACCTGCTCACATTCCTGCCCTGTACCCATTTCTTGGTGTTCTGAATTATTCACTTATCTGAGAAGTTTTTTTTCTTAAGAAATAGATAGGAAATATAGCAAATCCTTGATTTAGAGGAAAGTGAATGTGCTTTAAGGCAAAGTCTGTTGGTTGGCTTATTTTGTAATTTTTAGACTAAGATTTGATGTATTCAGTAATAATCAAAATTTATTTTCATAAAATTTTATAGAAGAACTCTTAATTTTCTACCAGTAGCAAATAGTATTGCTATTATTCTCTGTATTAAAGGAAGAATATCCCAAAGTGTTAAATATTAAATGATAATGAAAGTATAACATTCACAATTCAAATGTTTCTGGATTTTAAAATAGTTTCTGAATTTTGGTGATTTTAAAGGTAATGGTTTTAAATACCATAATTTATAGTTGTTTGGTATTTGTACAGAAGATACTGTTTTTAGCCAAATCATTTTTTGGGGATTATATTGATTATTACAAAATCTTAAATAATGATAGCATTGTAAAATGCCAGGAGCACATTTTGTTGTATCTTACTTGATCAAGTCCACTTAATTTTTATTGTTCTAAACACACTTGGTRTTAAGAGAAAACCTGTATGAACAAAATATGGGATTTTGTTATGAGTGGACCTACTTTTATATATCTATATATGGAAGATACTGTTGTGYAGTAACTCTTTTTCAAACATGTTGGTTTTTGGAAATTGAACCTTGACATTTTGTCATGAAATGTTGAATACCTGGAATCAGTGCGAAGCATACTTCAGAGTAAATCACATTTATTTTTAATATTGGCATCCCATTATTTTGTTTATATATTAAAAAGGGAAAACATTTTGTATTCCTTTTTTATTTCACAAATGGGTTAAAATKTGATGGTTTTAGTTTTTCACTACTTCTAAATTGAATTTAAGTGTATGTGTGTGTTATCAAATACATGCTTACCAGTATTGCATTATTGCTGTTTTCTAACTTGGCTTCATCCTGAAGTCCTGAAGGAATCTCTTAATATTCATTTATTTAATCAGTGAGTTACCAAACATTTCGTTGTAGATTACTGTTTTATATCTGGTTTTGCAAAAATTAAAAGTACTTCTTCCACCTTAAATTATCTTACATTTTAGGGGAGAAAGAGACTTATACATAATTATAGCACAATATGATAAATTCTAAAATGAGATATATGCCAAATATATTTACATATAGTGCTATAAAGTACTTCTTTTTACATACCTGATTTTCATTTTCAGCTTAAGACCTTGCTGTTTCACTGAGAGAAATAGAAGCAAATAGTGTCCTGTATTTATAGCCATGTACTCTACTTTTCCTCTTGGTGACTAGAAAGTGTCTTGTTGTTCTTGAGCCAGTCCACTTGTTTATGAACTGGATTTCATCTCTTTCCATCTTTTTAATCCCCAGTTCTCTCTATTTTCAGTTTTTTTCTACTCTTTACAGGGTTATTAGCATACAAAAACTTTCTATTCTATATCAACAAACAACCCTGGCATCATATTCCCACTAGCCATTTCTGTAGTTGATAACAAAATATATGTCTGAGAAGTCTGTTTTATCTCCTTTACCCTTTTTCTGTTTTCATTACAGACTTCATCTTTATTTATGCTATCAGACTTCAGGTGAAGGTCATCAGTGACTTTCCTCATTAGCAAATCTAGCAATGAATGCTCAGGGCTCATCTTACTAAACCTGTCAGCACACCGATGACATACTTGATCATTTTCTCCTCTTTAAACTTTCTTTACAATGTCTCTAGAATAGTCTTTTTATTTATCCTTTTTCCTAACTGCATTCTCCCAGTCTTCTTTGCTGAGTTCTTTATTTGCTCAACCTCAAAATGTTAAAAATGCCCAGTTTAAGCCTCACCTCCCACCCTTTTAAATGTTTACTACACTTTTAAGATAATCTCATTAAAATGGTGGTAGGTACCTTTTTAAAATTGTTTTGCTTATTCAACAAGTTTGGTTTTTCAAGATGCCAATCAATGTTATTCAAGCAGGGGATACATTTATTAGTAAAACAAAAGTCCTTATCTTTGGAGAATTAACATAGTACCAGGAAAAGATGGACAATAAATGTTAGACAAAATGATAAATTAGTTAGAAAATGCCAAAGTTGATATATTACTATGGAAAAAAAGGCAAAGGATAACAGGCCCAGGGRGATATCACTACAACTTTATATCTTCACTCTTAACAAATTTGACATCTTGATTGTATTTGTGTCTGTAACAGGCATATCCAAACTGAACTTCTGATTTCCCCCCTGTTCCATTTAATTATTCCTGTATAACAAATATCTCCAAAATTTATTGGCTGTACTATCAGCTGTTTTCTTATATCTCATGGTTTTATAGATGAGACTCTGGATCAGAGCTCAGATGGATGATTTGTCTATGCTTCATGATGTCTGAGGATTCTGCCTACMTGGTCAAACCTTTGGAGATGATTTGAGCTGCATGTTAAGGGTTTCTTTCTATTCTTGATATGTATGGTGTGTACTGGGTCTGGGGTATACAAAGTGGCACATGTCTAGTGCTTGGACTGGAATGGTTGGAACAGGGGGACTTGCTGGTGTCACTCTCTCTGTGTATGGCAATTTCACAGTGGTTAGACTTGTATGGTTTGGCTTCCCAGAGCAACCATTCCAAAGAACAATTCCCAGACATAGAGGTATCACATACAAGTCTCATAGGGCCAGGGACCAGATATTGATATAATTTTATTTTTGCTATACTTTGTCAAAGTTGTCTGAGTCCACCTACATTCAAGAAGAGGGCTATAATCTTACTTTTTAAAGAAAATGTATTTATTCTAATTTGTTGTATGTGATAGCAGAATGTATTATAATTCATATTACACATATAGAGCACATCTTTCCCAATCTCTGATTGTATACAGAGTATATTCACACCATTCATGTCTTCATACATGTACTTAGGGTAATGATGTCCATCTCATTCCACCGTCTTTCCCTTGCTCTTCCACCCCTTTGCCCTATCTAGTGTTCATCTAATCCTCCAATGCTCCCCCTCACCAATCCCATCATGAATCAATGTCCTTATATCAGAGAAAGCATTTGGCATTTGGTTTTGATGGGAGAAGTGTGAAATAATTTGTGGCCATCTTTAATTCATTGCTGTCCACCCTTTGGTCACAAATTTACCTTCCTCCCACATCAAAAATGTATTCACATCCTCCTGAGAAAGTCTCATCTTAATAGGCTATCTCTTGAGATTCGGGGTCTATAAATAAAGTTTGTATAGAGGTGAATGTATTTAGATGTTTTTCCACTCAGTCTGAATGAATACCAGTGCACTTAAGAGACAAATTACATGTACCCTCTACTCACCTAACACATCAACATAAATAGCAAGAGAGGCATACATTTAACTGCAGTAGGCACAGCCATTGAAAAAAGAATGAGAGTAAAAGGAACATAGCAGTCACTGTTCACTAGTAATTCTAAAATTAAGTTGAACATATACTGCTAGTTTCTTGATTTAGGTTTCAGTCCTACTTTTTGAGAAGAAATATTCTGTGGCTCTTTCTTCTGCCCTCTATTCTCCTGGTTTAGCCCTGCATCAGTCTTTCTTTTTTTATAGAAAATAGATTCAGAATTATGCTTCTAGACAAATAGAGTGACCACATTACATTCCTTCCTGAAACATCCAACAAACAGACCACATATATAACACAATGATTTAAAGACATGGAGAATAACACAACAAAGTACAGTGGTCTATAAGAGATGAGAAACAAATGAGATGGGCCCCATCTTACTATCTTGAGAGAGTTTCCACATTTTGGTGCAAGGTAGAAGAATCCAAGAAAATCCCAAATGTACCTATCCAAGTTGAAGAAATACAGCTGTGAGAATAGAGAGACCTAGACTACAAGGCAGATCACCATAGGAAGAATTGCCAAACAGAAAACTCCAGGCCTCTGTCGCGTGTCATCTTTGAGGACCAGCTAGAATTTAAAATTTTATGATTGATTGGGAATTGAGTAGAGTACACAGATGGTAATGTGTAGCATAAAATGATTGCCKCAGTAGTGTAGGATAATTATGCCAAGGCAGAACACGGATTTGGTCTTGACAAATGTTTAAAGTGAAGAAAAAAAAAAGAATCAAACTGTTTAAGTAACATAATTGCATCCCAAAACAAAGCACAAAAATATTTATAGGAATAAGAATATATCAAATATATTCAGTAGTCAGAAAATGTTGAAATGTCTGACATGCAGTAAAAAAATTGTCAGGCATGCAAAGAAGCACTGAAACTGTTGCTACTATGGGTAGCATACAAGTTTTTTTTTCCTTTATTTTGAAAAACATTTTACTGTTTAAACAAAAATAACGTGTGGAATTTATAACATGTAAAASTAAAGTAAATCACAATAGCAACAACTAGAGCACAAATGTGGGAAGGAGAGAAATCTAAGTATACTGTATTAGATTGTTAAGTTGTACTTGAAGTAGGATAATGCAGCTTAAATATGGATGCTGATAAATTAAGAATGTATAGTTATAAGCTTTAAAGAAGACCCCAATCAAGATTTATAGTTCATAGGTAAAATGGGATAAAAAAACAATCTGAATAATGTCAGAATAAAAGAAAAGGGGAAATAAAGTACAGATGTAATAAATACAAAACAAAAAGATAAATTTCTCCCAAACAAAAAGTATATTCAAATCCTCATGAGAAAGTCTCATCTCAGGAGGGCTTACTCTTGAGGTTCAGGTCTCATCTAAGTCAAGTTCAGATGGAGATAACTCAGGTGATTTTCCACTTACTCTGGAGACCTATGCATATCATAGTAATTTAATATTGCTTCATAACTTATCACTACAAATTTAGCAGTTTAAAGTAACATGCATTTATGATCTCACAGTGTCTGTGGGTCAGGATTTCAGGAACAGTTTAGCTGAGTTCTCTACTTAGGGTCTCTCAAGGCTGTAATCTTTTGAACAGAGCAAGATTTTTGTCTGGAGGCTGAACTGGGGAAAGATCTACTTCCCCACATCAGATATGGTTGTTTGCAACATTTAGATCCTTGTAAACAGAACTGAAATTTCAGTTTTTCCAGGCTGTTGGGCAGAGACTATCCTGAGTTCCCATAGGTCATTAGCAGTTCCTTACTTTGTGGTATTTTCCATCATGGCTACTTGCTTCTTTCTACCAACAAAATAGAGGGAGATTCTCACAAGATGTCCACCGAAGTCTTATATAAGGTGATCATATGATGATTTGAGCAAAATCACATGTGGCCTGTCCCCATTGTTACATATTGGTTAGAAGAAAATCACAGGTCCTCCCTACTCTCGATAGAATGAAAGCACACAAAGTTCTGAAGAACAGAATCAAAACATAAAGGAAACCACCTTAAGAGTCTGGCACTGGTATTTATGCAAGTGATGTTTCAAGGTGGCTGAGTATGAATAGCCATAATCACTTAACAAAAAACAAAGACAGACAGCTACTCACAAACCAGAATTTCCCTGGCAAAGTTCAAGGGTCCACTTAAGAATTCATAGATTTGCAGTGAAACAACAACAAAAAGGGGAGGATATCCACACAAAAAGATCTGGTGAAACTGGCATTCAGAGATGCCACAGACAGCTAAGAATAAAGAAAAATTGCAGAGAATATTGGTATTAGCAATATGGTGAGAATCATGATGATCCCTGGAGACCTGATCCATAGAGAACATTATCTTTTGCCTGTCATGAAATTAATAGCCTTCCTTATGCAGCTGCATACTTCTCAAGAATCAGCTACTGTTGTGTAATTAGTACTTCAGTACCCCTAACCCTGTGCATGCTCCTGAGCAAATTGTGGCTGCTCTATAAATGCTCACAGTGCAGTGATTCTTGTGAGAGTGTGCATACACATGCTACACCAGGGTCATTGCCCTACCAAGCTTGATCAATCCAGGACCCTGGATTCAAGGGGTTCTGTTCATACCCATGTTCTGGATAACTGTTTACCTGCCATAGAAAACTATCCACGGTAGCTTGACATGTCTGTACTCCTGTCACAGGCTCCCCAGGTCTCTGGCTGTTTTGCAAATGACCATGCCTTTCACACTATTACCAACTCAAAATAGGGATACCTGTCTATGTTCCTGCATTGATCCATTGGCATCCAGGACTCAGAGCTGTAGTCCCCSCCCACACACACCTGTGTCCCATGTTTCATGGCTTGGCTCCAAAGCCACTCCATAGGCATCACTCATCAGATACCTGTGCCACTGCCACCATGAGCAAGCCCACAGCTGGTCCTAATGCTAATAATTCCCTCAATCATAACTTTTCCAGTGACAGAAAAGCAGGGCATAGCAGCCATTACCAGAGAACTCCACAGCATTGTGAACTTCCACAGCATTGACTTTTGAGCATTCCTGTAATTTTTGTTAACACTGACAACTGACAGATACTCAGACTATGTTGCTATGACCCTGCTAGTGCAAAAATATTTTGCTCACCTCAGCCAGTGCCCCAATAACTTCCCACTGGAAGATATTCTCTCCCACTGGAACCAGTCTGGAAAGTCTGGAAAAATTGACTAAACCATCAAGTGCAGAGACATCAACATAAACCCAAGAAATCTGTAAATCCAAGGAAACTATCACCACCAAAAGAACATAATTCCTAGTAGCTGAACTCAATGAAGTGGAGATCAACAAATTACATTCTTAACGACCAACAATAAAAAAAAAT